CAGCACTGCAGGGACAGAAGCCCCCATCAGTGTCTGGGTGGAAGAGTAACTAAATGGAGCTGGCCATATGGCTCAGCAGGTAAAGGTGCTTGCTGCACCTGGAGACCAGAGTTCAAGCTTCATAGCTTCACAGATCACACGAAGGTGGAAGGCCTGAACAGACACCAAGACACTCTTCTGACCTGCCACACACATGCTCGAGCACACAACCATAAAAAACACAAGCTAGAAAGCATGAACTGGAATGTTCTTTCCTGCTTCAGCATCTATTTTTAAGAATCAAAGTTCACCAAGGGGACACACAAGCTGGCACACTACCTTCCACACTTACGAGATATTATCAAGACATCACACTCTGTTCCCACCTAAAGCCAGTCAGGAAGTTGCGGCAGAGGCCGATGAGGACTAGGTACTGACAGTCCTCCTCTACACAGTCTCCCACACAGGCGCTGACAGTGACGCCACAATCGGACAGTGCAGGCAAGGCACTCTGCACTAGAGACTTGATCACAGCGTCAGCCATGGGTAAAGACCAAGGGATCCTTTCCCTGAGGAGATGCCCGACATCAGTAATCACTGGGTGACATCTGCTTTAGTCACCATCTCTGAGGCAGAGGACACTGGGGGACCATGAGGAGGTGACCATGAGGACAGATAAAGCAGCAGGACACAGGGAAGGAACCCTGGTGCCACTCTCTCCTAGAGGGTGATCACTTTTGAGACAGTAACAACCAAGGCGACACTGAAGCCAGACACACTGCATCCTGGAGTCAACGGCACCTTCAAGATGACACTGAGCAGGAATGGAGCCCTCTACTCTCCTAGTGGGCAGGACTCTGGAATTCTAAGGAAGCTTCAGTGTCCCCCTCACCTTAGGCCAGGGCTAGGGTGCCACTAATTGTTCACTAGAGTTCCCAGCCTCATGCTTGTCACTTCTAGGCACCTGTCACTCCTCTTCAGCAACCAGAATAGTCTTAAAGTCTGAACGTCACTTCAAGGTAGAGAATAGGCAATTTAGGGCCAATCTTGACTTCATAGTAAGTTCGAAGCCACCCTGAACTACCTGAGACTGGTTTTAAACAAACGAGTCGGCAAAATTTGAGGGTAAGGGATAAAAATGATTGACACTGAGCTGTAACCTCAGGAGAGTTGAGGCTAGCCAATCTCAAAAAACAAAAGCAAAGCCGGGTTTAGTGGACACACCTTTAATCCAGGCACTAGGAGGCAGAGGCAGGAAGATCTGTGAGTTTGAGGCCAGTTTGATCAACAGAGTTCTCGGACAGTCAGTTCTAGGACACAGATTCTGTCTAAAAACAGACCAACCCTATGGCAAAACCAAAAAGGCATTCAACACCACAACCCAAAGGAAACATAAACTAAAAGCATGGGACAATACTGCACTATCAGAAGAGTTGAGCGAGGGGAAAGGCGTGCAGTGCAATCAAGCATGCGGAATTTCTCACATTGCTGGTGAATGAGGGCGAGACACCGAGGGAGTGTGGCCATCTCTGGTCTGCTTTGTTGCTGCAGATGGAATCCAATTTGGGCTCAAATTCACTCTCTAGCTGAGCATGAGCTTGTACTTCTGCTCACTCTGCCCCACTTCCTAAGCCTCAGGATCACAGGTACACCCACCCCACCTATATTAAATTAGTTAAAAAAAAAAAAAAACCTACACATGCAGTTGCCAAAAAAACAACTGTACTCTGGGGCACTCACCTCCAAGAAATGAAAATTCCCATCTGCACAGAAAGCCACCCATGGATGCGCACGGCTGCCTTACTTGTCATGGTCCAGATCTAGACTATCACTGTGTCTTTCCATGAGCTCACAGTTAAACTGTGAACTACTACTCAATCAACAACAACAAAAAAAAGCATATTGTCACACTTGGGTTAACTTCTTAGGGTATTGTGCTGACCGAAAAGCCAATCACCAGGCTTTGGGGATGGCTCAGTGGGTAAAGCATCTGTCTCCAGTGTGAGGACCTCAATTTGACTCCCCAGAATCTACGCAAAAGTATTGCTCTGCTGAGGACCTGGGTTAGATTCCCAGCACTCATTGCACAGCTCAGAACCAGCAGTAACTTCGGTCCTGGGGATCAGATGCCCTGCCCTCATAAGCTTGCAGGCCAAACAAAACAAAAGAAAAACTGTTACAAGGGCAACATCCAGCCCTCCCGTCTTCAGCTGTGGTCACTGCTCCCACCCTCTTGCCTATGGTGTCTGTGCAGCTAGCAGTCACGCCCCTGGATCTCCTAAAGGGACCTAAATAAATTTGTTCTTCCTATTCAGTTGAACTTCAGGAAGCTCACTGTAGCGACCACAGAAACAACCTGATACAACTTTCAAACCTGACATGCCCAGTACTCAGGAAGACTCAAGAACTAGAAGATCAGTGGCTGCCAGCGTCAGACAGTGGGCAGGAGGAAGCAAGAAGACAGGGTTATAAACATGAAGGGGTTTTGTTTTTTTATTAGTTAATTGTTATTTTGCCTTTTTCTAGACAGGGTCTCACTCTGCACCTAGGCTGATAGCAAACAACCCTCCCAAACCTTGGGATTACAGACAGGCCACTGGGCCTGACTTCACCCTCAGGAGCTTCCCAGGGCAGTGGATTTCAACCTGTGGGTCGAGACCATTTCACAGGGGTCATCACAGACCATAGGGAGACTCTGATATTTACATTATGATTCACAATAATAGCAAAATTATAACTATGAAGTAGCAATGAAAACAGCTGGGATCACCACAGGATGAGGGCGATACTAAAGGGCTACAGCATTAGGAAGGTTGAGAACCACACTGCTCTGGGGCAGGATGGTGGGAGATACAGGACTCTCCTCAGGGCTCAGACATCACAGAATTAAACACGTAAGCAGACACATGCAAAACTGGAGACGTGTGAAAGACTGAGGAGTGATGCCCTGGCCACAGTCTTTGACAGAGGGGCTGCATCTTAGGAATTCAGGTTGCATGTCAATTTAAAGTGTTTCCCCTTAACAAGTGTGTGTGTGTGTGTGTGTGTGTGTGTGTGCGCGCGCGCGTGTGTAGGGGGGTGTTGTCCTGCAAGAAACTTAACAGGTAAAGGCGTTTGCTGCCAAGCCTTGGTCCCAATCCCTGGGACCTACATGGCATAGAGAACCAATGCCCGCAGGTTGTGCCCGACACTGTACCCCACTACACAACATTTGTTTGTTTTTTCTTTTTTGAGACATGGTTTCACCATGCTATGTAGCCTTGGCTGACCTTAAACACAGGTATCTGACTGCCTCAGCCTCCTGAGTGCTGGGTTTAAAGGCATGAGCCACCACACATGGCCACAATTTTTTTTAAGGCAGTAAAAAATATTTTTAAATGTTTATTGTGTATATCTGCCCTCAGAAAACAGAAAGAGCTGTTAGAGACCTTGGAACTGAGTTACAGGCAAACGTAAGCCTCCTGGTATAAGCACTGGGAACCAAAACCAGGCCCTTTGCAGGAACAGTAATTTTTTAAAAATTACTGAGCCAGCCAGGTGGTAGTGGTGCACGCCTTTAATCCCAGCACTAGGGAGGCAGAGGCAGGCGGATCTCTGTGAGTTTGAGGCCAGCCTGGTCTACAAGAGCTAGTTCCAGGACAGGAACCAAAAACTATGGAGAAACCCTATCTCGGAAAAAAAAAAAAATTACTGAGCCACCTTTTCAGTGGGGCCTTCCTCCACCTTTTTAAATATACTTTTTTTCACAGTCGGTGAAAGTGCCTGCTGGCACACCTGAGTTTGACCTGGGACCCAAATAGTGGAAAGAGAAAGTAGACTCTTGTAAGTTGTCCCCTGAACTCCAGACTAGTGCGGTAATGCATGTGTGCATTTAAGGTCATACACACTAAATAAATAAAATATAATAAAAACCTGTCTTTAGTAGTGTATAGAGGCTGGGGACATAGCCAATGGTAAAGCAGCAAGGAAGAGGATTTGCATTCAGATCCCCAGACATTTTACTGATGTAAAAACCTGGATGTTAGCTCATGCCTGTAATTACAGAATGCAGGTGGGGCAGAGACAGGAGGGTGCCTGGAACTCACTGATCAGTCAATCCAGCCCTGCTGACTGGCTCCAAGTTCAGTGACAGAGTCTGCCTCAAAAACAAACAAAAAATGCAAAGGATGAAAAAAAAAAACAAACCACAAAACAAAAAAACAAAAAGCAGTGTAGCCAGGCAGTAGTGGTACAAAACTTTAATCCCAGCACTCAGGAGGTGGATCTGAGTTCGAGGCCAGCCTGGTCTACAGAGCAAGTTCCAGGATAGCACAGCTATCTTGAAAAACAAAGTATCTGAAAAAGACAACTTCTCACCTCTGACCTCCACATCCACACAAACAAACCACTCATACATACAAATTATTATTTTTTAAAATGTACTTACTTTTATGTGTATGAGTGTTCTACCTGTACTTGCATGTCTGTGTACCACGTATGTGCCTAGTGTCTGCGAATGTCAGAAGAGGGCGTCAGATTCCCTGGACTTGCAGATGGCTGTGAACTACCTACCATGTGGGTTCCAGCAAGTGCTGGAGCACTGAACTGTCTTCAGCCCCAGTGATGTGCTCTGCAGTCATCAACTTCCAATCCTGACCACACACAGCAGCCAGGCAGGACTTCTGTTTGTCAAAAGACTCAGCTTGGGGCCTTCCAAATGACAACAAAAGAAAACCTATGGGGGCGGAACAGCTCCTAGAACCCCTTTATGATAGTAACCTCAGGTAAAGGGTAGTAAGGAGGGTGTACGGTAAGATACCAGATCCTAAAAGCTGGGAAGCCCTAAATGTACATTATATGCAAATATGCAGAGACCTAGGAGGACACCCAGAGGTCAATCCTGAGGTGGGTAGGGTGGAAGAGGACTGGCCCAAGGCTATGTGGATTTGAACCGCCCAGTGCTGGGAGTAGAGGACTGCATTCCAATTCCAGTTCAACAAGTCTACTTTGTTTAACAAAGGGAAAATAAAGCAAGCACTTACTGCATTCATAGATCTGTTCCAGCTTATCCACAGAAGAAAGGGAGAAAAACTTATACCCGGACTTACTACCAACCGCGAGGGACCTGCAAAAAAGCCAGATCACAAGTAAGAGCTAAGGCATGGAGACAGCAGTCATGCATAAACCAGTACCTACCTTACCTCCAGTAAACCGGGTTTCTACCAGAAATCACCGCGTGTTCCGAGCTATCTCACAGGTCTGGATCAGATACGTGGTAGAGGATGCTACAGGCCAGAGGGTTGTCAAGCATAAGGCAGGGCCATGATGGTTAACAAGGTGCTGGGACCTGACACAATATGGTTATCATACACAGAACCCAAGCATGTCAGGTGACAGCTCGTGTTTGTGAGCAAGTATAAGCCGTGGTACACAGTGGAGTCAGGGAATGACCTGAGGTGTTGGCCCTCCCCTCCCACCTTGTTAGAGACAGGGCTCTCATCACAGCTGCACACACCAGGCTAGCTGGCCTCCGATGGTCCAGGAATCCTTGGTTGCTCCCTACCCAACCTTAGGAAGACCGGACACACAGCTGGCTTGATGTGTGCTCTTCAGAGATGAACTCCCCCTCATTTTAACAGCACGTGCTTTACCCTCTGAACTATCTATCTCCCCAGCCCAGTGGTCACACATCCCACATACACCTGTAGGAGGGTATCTGGCTATAGACTTTAAGTATATTTAGGTTTGTCTGTTACCCTCAATAAAAGCCTGGGGAAAGATGAAAAGTAGTCAAAAAATAAATGAACAAAACTCAGAGCTCTAAGTTTAAGACCTAACCACAGAATAATCAGCTGTCAGCCAGTGACTGCAGACACACAACTGTTTTGGCGCTCGCGGGCCTTCAAGTTCAGTAAGTTGCACAGCATTCTCCACCCTTAAACCCAGGCTTGGTATCCATCCTCATTTTGGGACTGCCTCCAGCACCCACTGCACTGTGCCTGAGAGGTAGGGTGGGAATGACTCGCACTAAGGGAACTACTTAGACCCTGGGAGGGGAAGACTATTATCTTTGTTCTTTTCGATGGCTTATATTTGACAGGCCATGTTCACCAACTCCCAGCCTTGGCTAAAAGGCTTGGAGCACAGTGTCTTGGTGACACCAAATGAAGGGGCTTCTGATCAGAAAATTCCATCTCCAGAATGCAACTGACCAAGGCAGCAAGAGCAAGCAGCACAGCCAGGCTTCACCGATGCAAAGGAGGATGGGGGAAAGGAGGGACTGAGGAGACACAGTTCAGACACTGGGGCTATTCCTGGTCTAAGCGCCTGGGCAGAGCAAAGGACTTTCACCCAATTTGTATTTGTACCCCAGGACAACACTTGGGGCTACTTTAACAACAAGCTCATCTACTGAACACTTGATGTTCCCAGCCCTCCCAGAGAAGTGGACACACTCCTAGAAGCTGGGGGTGGTAGGTAACATTTGCCTATAATTCTAGCATCTGGGAGGCAAAGGCTGAAAGATCAAAAAAGTTCAGGTCCTCCTTGGCTATAGACCAAAGGCAGCCTAGGCTGCATGAGGCCCTGCATCAAATCACCAAACTGGGGGGAGGGGGAGGATGAGAAAGGCTCTATGAGCAGTGCTGAAATCTTAGTAGTATGAGCTTGTCTTATAGCATAAAGGACCACAAACTTTCTCCACTAGGTGTTTGTCTTAATACTTCACTACACTAAGTTCTTTGAATCAAGTAATCAGGTCTAGGTATCTGTACACACTGTGAGCAGTAAAAGGTGGCCAAGGTGGTACACACTTTTAATCCCAGCACTCAGAGTCTAGCCTGATCTACACGGCAGATGCCAGGCCAGCCATGTCTTAAATTTAGAAATAAATAAATAAACAAAAGAGAAACAAAACAGTTTTCCAGAAAGGTTAAAAATAAAATCTCAGCAGCTAAGAACGTCTAGAAAATTGGTGTTCAAGAAAATATCTTCCAGACAAACGAGAAAATTTTAATCTCTCTTACTTCAACTAATTCTGAATTTAAAATACAAACCACCCTGGTACTTGGGAGGAAGAAGCAGGAATATCAGCAGTTCAGAGCTAGCCTGGGCTTCGGTGAGTCCCTGCCTCACAGCAAAAAATGAAAATACCCAAAATACCAAGGACAAAAAGAAAAAAACAAAAATCATTCTTAAATTATGTATTTTCCTGTATGTTTTAAAGATGTGTATTTATAGGAGTACATCTACGTGAATGCCTTCCACACGTGTGGGGCAGCTGCAGTGATGTTAACAGGCAGCTCTGAGCAGTGGTTGCTCAGGTCCTCTGGAAGAATAACAAGGGCTCCTAACTACTGAGCCACCTTTCCAGACCCCCAAAGAAAATGTTTGTGTTCTTAAGACAAAAGGACACATTCTTATCTCATTTGTTTGAAATGGAATCTAAGATATGGCTGGCCTGGGACTTTTAATCCTCCTGCCTCAGTCTTCCTATGTGCTGGGATAGACATGAACATGTCTGCTTTGGCAAATTCTTTTGGGTTCAGGGTTTTGTGTCTCCCCCATCAGATGGCCCGATCATGTGAAATACATACATACTTACACACACACATATATATACATACACATACATATATATGAATTCTATGTGAATGATATATGCCTGAATGTATGTATGTAAACTACATGTGTACAGGAACTCTGGGAGCCAAAAGAGGGTATTGGATCTCCTGGAACTGGAGTAACAAACAGGTGGTTGAGAGTCAGCATGTGGGTGCTAGGAACCAAAAATCTGGGTCCTCTGCAAGAGCACTAGGTGCTTTTAACTGCTTGAGCCATCTTTCCAGGCCCCTGACCATAATAATTCAAAGGAATTTTCTGGAGCTGTTAGCACGTGTGAGGCCTGGGTTCAATTGCCAGCATAACAAAAATAAAAGCCTACCCTAACAGACAGCTGTCAGTCTTCCTGCCGGATTACCCCGTCAACACCACCCCTTTGCACTTCCTGTTCACTGGAAATCGCAGACACTTAGGGAGATCCTTGCCTATAAGCACTGGAAGTGGCTTGGGCTGGAGAAATGGCTCAGAGGTTAAGAGCACTGACTGCCTGACCAGAGGTCCTGAGTTTCCAGCACCCACATGGTAGCTTGTAATGAGATTTGGTGCCCTCTTCTGTTGTGCAGACAGAACACTGTATACATAATAAATAAATCTTTAGCAGGGCGGTGGTGGGGCACGCCTTTAACCCCAGCACTCCGGAGGCAGAGGCAGGTGGATCTCTGTGAGTTCAAAGCCAGCCTGGTCTACAAAGCTAGTGCCAGGACAGGCTACAAAGCTACACAGAGAAACCCTGTCTCGAAGTGGTTATGTGGAGTCCAGAGAGGTTGGTTCTTAGTGGTGCTCCCCATGGGAAGTTAGTGTGTGTGTGTGTTTGGTTTATCGAGACAGGTTTTTCAGTGTAGTCCTAGCTGTACTGGAACTCACTTTGGACCAGCCTGGCCTTGAACTCACAGAGATCTGCAAAATCTTTTTGATGTTCTAGATAAACAAAACTGATTAGACTATTAAATATCTGGGCTAGAATTTTGGTGCCTAAAGCTTTCTAACTGATGGTGGCCTTTCATCAAGAAGAAACAGAACGTAAAAACTTTACCAGGCTAAGAACATAATGACACTGGAACAGGCTCAGGTGCAGCAGAGTGCCTGCTGGGCCAACTGTGGGCCTTGGCTATCAAGTGTCTTACATGTCTCATTACAAACACCAACAATCTTTGGTAGGTTCTCTTATCAGAAAATGAGACATCAGAAGCCGGGTAGTGGTCGTGCACACCTGTAATCCCAGCACTCAGGAGGCAGAGGCAGGCAGATCTCTGTGAGTTTGAGACCAGCCTGGTCTACTAGAGCTAGTTCCAGGAGCGGCTCCAAAGCTACAGAGAAATCCTGTCCCAAAAGAAAAACAAGCAAAAATAGATAAATAAAGATGTAAAGGGTGCGGTGGTGCCCACCTCAGAACTCCCGCGGTGGGGAGGTAAGCAAAGGAGGAAGCTCTAAAGTTCAAGGCCAATCACAGCTACCACTCTGGCCTCGAGCTACAGAAGACCCAGCCCCACCAACAGAGCCTTGGCTAGAGATTGTTCAATGGTGCTTTTTTCTTGCAAAGGACCTGAGTTCGATTCCCACCACCCACAACAGGCAACTCACATGCCTTCACTCCAGCATAAAGGATCTGATATGCCTTTGACCTCCTCAAGCATATACTTGTACTCCTTTCTCATCTTCCCCTCCCATGAGTCAAGCCTGTTGCAACATCTTTTTGCTGTTTTATGACGACATGATACCTCTATTACTGAATTTGAAGGCTTCCCCTTCACTGTGAGAGTGTGTAGCAGGTGCCCCTCAGCTTCCCAGTCAGTCCATAGGGGCCTTCCCCTGTCATTACCTTCCCCAGGAAAAGGTCACACTGATTATGTGGATGAGTGGGACAAGTCACCACTATAAACAGGAAGCAGAATGCCCCATGGCCACAGTGACCTGTCAGGTGCTATGCCTTACTTAGGACAATGACCAGGCCAAGTTCCTGGAGAACCCAGCCCATCCCCACCCCAGACCTGCACCAGAAAACCCCAAGGCCTTTCAGAGCATCCAAAGCAGATGTCTTTCCTTGGCCAGTTTTCTTAGGGTGCTAACAATGCTCCCAAAGAAGCCCCAGAACTGGGAACTAGGTTGCCCTTGAACACATCACACAGGTTCTGTGAATTGCTGCCCATCCACGCTCTGCAGCAATCTGCACTTCTCAACTGTCTGCTTCAAAAAGCACGCAGAGGGGCAGGCAGTCAAGGCTAAATGACCTTCGGAAACCATCTTCAGTTTACAGGCAAATGCATAGCCTTCCAGAATGGTACCTGGTGCCTGGAGGAAGCTTGGAGGAGAATGAATGCCTCTAGACCATGTCTAACATTGGGGTGGGGTGAAGGCTGTGTCCCTTTACTCTAGGCCTCTGGTAAAGGAGGCTTAGAATAGACACAGCCCCTCTCTGACTTCCCAAAATCCATCGGAAAAACTTAGTCCTGATGGTCCCCCGGTGCTACTGACTGGAAGGGTTTTCCTCCCACCCAGACAGCACTGCTTAGTTACGAGGCTACAACAGGTCCCGATAGCTTTCGCGGTGCTGGCTTTGTGCTGTATTGCATACAAAACACAGTATTTAGCAATCTGAATATGTGTTTGTGAGGTTACACTTGAGTGTTGGTGTATATTTAATGAAGTACGGTCTCTCCCTGAACCCCAGAGTTTACTGACTGCTAATCTAACTAGTCAGGGATCTCCTCTCTCAACAAGAGTGTGGGGTTATAGATAGCTGCCTAGCTTTTCTGTGGGTACTGGGATCTCAACTCTAATCCTCACGGTTGTGTGACAAGTGTTTTAGCCATTGAGTCATCTCTCCAGCGCCCTAGTGGCTTTAACTTGTACAGATCCACACTATACTTCTATACTCAGGGTCTTCAGAGGTAGAAAAGACACACTGTGGTAGAACAGAAAGAACACTAGGAGAGAACACTCGGGCAGACAGGAGCCTATTCCTGCCCCATTCCACCATTAACCACTCCTAAGATCCAGAAAGGGCCAGACCTTTCTGAACTTCACCGTCTTAGTCTGTGGCGGAACCAGGTGACCCACATCCTTCCAAATCTCTGGACATCTCCCTGATCTTGAGAATATCGAGAAAGTCCAATTGAGCACCTGTTGCTCCTTCATACAGGTGCCTGCCATTTTCCAATTTAACTTTTAATTGAAGAAAAACAAAATACCTCAGTCTCTATCTTGCTAATGCTATTCTGTCAGCAGCAGCCAACTACTTAGTGTGATGCCAAGTGACCCATTCCTTCTCCTCTGACATCACTTCCTCTTACTCACTTCCCAAGATGGCTATTCTCCTTCCAGCCCCATAACTCATCCTTCCTTCCTCAGAAGCCTCATCTATTTACCACCTCCCAGGTATGCCAACGAGCCAGTCTTGAAGAACCACATTGGGACCTAAGGCAGATCAGTCTGGCAAAACAGGAGGTCGCATGAAGGTTCTCTTTTACTCCAGGAATAGCCCACCTTACCCCCACCTTCCACCCCCTTGGAGCACCCAGGCCCTCTAAGGACAAAGTCTCTCTAGTTCGAAGGTCTGGGTTTCTGCAGTTTGGTTGTCTGGAGGAGACAAAGTTACCTGTCAGAAAGAATGGCAGAGAAGTAAAAAGAAAAAGAGAAACCATGAGAGCGATAGAAGATGCAGAGAAATAGGGAGGTGAGCAATGAATGCCCAGGGCGGCCGAGAAACCCATTCCGGGTGACCGGCACAAACCGGCGTGCACAGTTCCTTCCCGACTCTGCAAAAGGCTAGGTCTGAGGACAGGTGGATGGGAACGCCTCGTGTTCCATCACCTCCCCCGGCCCAGGAGGCAGCAGCTCTCCGGCGGTCGCGCGGGCTCAGGCCCCCCATTAGACACCCCTCAACTCGATCCAAGCCTCGACCTCTGACCCGGCCCCGTGCCCAAGCCCGGCCTTACGTGTTATCCTGGTTGAAGTTGGCGAACAGCAGCTGGCCGGCGCCGGCCTCTCCGCTCTGGCTCGCCAGGTTCATGGCTGCGCGCGCGCGACGGGCTCGGACCCCCTTCGCGGGAGCGCGCGCGGCGCAACTCGGGCGGCCCGCGGGAGCGTGTTCCACTCAGGATCTGCGCCCGGTCCGGCTTGCGCCCTCGCTCGCCGCCACTCGCTGAGCGGGGACCAACCGCCGCCTCATCCCGTCCGCACTCTTGTTTATGCTCCAGAGCCGGGACGGGCTACGCGCTTGCGCGACCCCGCCCACCCTCGCGACGCACGCAGGCGTACGGCGCAGACCCGCTGCGTAGGCCCCGCCTCTTCACCGCAGGCTCCGGAGGGAGTTTCCGGTCACTAGCGCATGCTTGAAGAGGCCCCGGCGGGCGCGCCTGCGCGTGGCCCAGAGTGGGCTGGTCCTTGCCCTCTGCAAACGCGGGGTTACCTCGTTGGTCCTGGTGCGCTGATCATTGTTCTGGGGGGGCCTGTGCACATCGCCTTGGGCATAGAGCATCTCCGTTTTACAGATTTGAAAAGCGAGAACTGTAAACTATCAAATGTTAGATCTGAGACTGGAAACGATTTCTCCAAGGCGTGTGCCGTCAGGAGTCTACTTTAAATGTACTAATTCATGCAAACAGTTTACGGGAAGCATCTTCCCTCCCTCCTTCCCTCTTGCCCTTCCTCTCTCCTCTTTCCTTCGGGCCCTTCCCCCAAGAGGATGGGAACGCCCGTGTTGGCAAAGGTCCTGGAGAAGAGCGAAGCTTTTTTGTTCAGCATGAGTTTGGGTGAGAAGACAAGAAGGCAGAAAGATGAACAGTAGGTGGCGGGGGTCTCTGGACACTGTTAAAACTGAACCTGTAGGCAAGAAGCTATGACTCCCAAACTCTAGGCTGTTCTTGAGGATAGAGGGAAGTTAGTACAGCCCCAGGAAAAAGGACAGTTGTTGAGGAAAAGATGACACAGCCCGCCCTCCCTCGAACCGAGATAGGGTCCCATATGTGTCCTAGATTGGCTTTGAACTCTGTAGCTCAGGTGGACTCTTTTTCTGTGTGTGGGGTTTTTTTTTGTTGTTGTTGTTGTTTTTTGTTTTTGTTTTTCGAGACAGGGTTTCTCTGTGGTTTTGGAGCCTGTCCTGGAACTAGCTCTTGTAGACCAGGCTAGTCTCGAACTCACAGAGATCCGCCCCTATAGGTTTACCTTCAACGTATAGAGATTCACCAGCCTCTGCCTCCTAAGTGCAGGAATTAAACGTACTACCTTGCCTGGCTGTTTGTTTTAGAAATTGAGAGTTTCCTATAGTACGTTCTGATCATAGTCAACCTTACTACCCAGATTGTAGGTCTGGGTGGTGAGAGTCACCTAACTTGGTCTGCCTTCCTTTCTCTCTTTTCCTTCCTTCCTTTCTTTTTTGTTCTCTTTTTCTTTCCTTCCTTTTTTTTGGGGTGGGGGGGGGGTGTTTCAAGACAGGGTTTCTCTGTAGCTTTGGAGCCTGTCCTGGAACTCATTCTGTAGACCATGCTGACCTCCAGCTCACAGAGATCCGCCTGAGTGCTGGGATCAAAGGCATGCGCCTCTACCACCTGGCTTTCTTTTTTAAACCCATCAAGTTCATTTTGTGCTGCCTATATATTTGGCCTTCCACTGGAATGTGGTCACCCTATCAAGGACCATATCTTTTTTCTAATTTATAAACTTTATTAGAAGCTTTGGTTTTCTGATCATCATTATCTTTGTGCTATTTTATATGTCATATACTTTGGCTTTCGATGAATTGCTCTGTATCTGTGAAGCTGAAAGCGTACATTAAGTCTCAGGCTACCCTAGAGTTAAGAGTCTTCATTATTCCTTCTTTGGTTGAGTTCCATTTTCTCTCTTTTAAAAATATTTTTTCTTTTGTTTGTATGTGTATATGTCTGTGTAAGTATATGTCACATATGTGTGTGGGTACCCCATGAAGGCAAGAAGGTATTAGGTCCCCTGGAACTGGGGTTACAGGCCTCTGTGAGCCTCCTGACAACAGTTCTGGGAAGAACAGCAAGTGCTCTTACCCATGAGCCATCTCTCCAGCCTGCAGGGTTCCTCTTTCTTATCTTGCCTTCATGGTGTTCATTTGTTCATTAGATAGAAGGAACTAGCTAAGCATGTTCTGGAGATGAAATAGCTGAGCTCACAGGTGCCGCCCCATGTCTGCTTTCCAAGGACCACATCCTTGAAGAAAACCAACTCCCCTGTTGCCAGCAGCCGTCAGTTGCCAAATGCTCTTCAGCTAGGGGTGGGGCTTCATGCCGATCTTTCCCGTGACCAGACTCTGACTTGATCTGTGCAGTGTCATGTTTGTACATGGTGCTGCAACTGCTCCGAGTTCCCATGTGCTGGGTCCTGCTGTTTTCTTGTGGACGTCCTTCGTCCATCGCCCCTGGCTCCTTCAGTCTTTTTGATTCTTCTTCTACAATGGTCCCTGAGCCTTAGGAGGAGGGGTGTGGGATAAATGTCCCATTTAGGGCTGAGCATTCCAGCCCCCAGTCTCATTCTCTCCACGTCGGTCAGTGGTGGGTCTCTGTGTTAGTCACCATCTTCAACAGATAGTAACTTCTCTGAGGAGAGTTGAGATGCACTAGTCTATGGATTAACAGGAAGGCACTAGGCGATCCGTTGAATACCATGTTCATTTAGCAGAACGGTGGTGGTAGATCCTCCCCTAGGCCTTATGACTTGCCTGCCCATGGGTTTGACCCTGATAATGGTTCTGGGTATGGGTTTTATTTTGTGGAGCAGCCCTTAAATCCAATCAATATTATTGGCACAAGGAAATACTTTCTGAACAGGACCCCAGTAACCCAGGCATTAAGACCAACAATTAACCTCAGGAGACTAACAAAGTTCTTTATGGCAAAGGACATCGTTGTTTAAGGGAAGAAGACTAAAATGGGGACAAATCTTTAGAAGCTATACATCTGTCAGAGGGTTACTATCTAGAATATGCAAAGAGCTGAAAAAAACTAAACATCAAGAAAATAACCCATTAAAAATGGGACATGGAGTCGGGCAAGGTGATGTACACCTTTAATCCCAGCACTCAGGAAGCAGAGGTAGGCAGTTCTATGAGATGGAGGTCAGCCTGGTCTACAGAGTAAATTCCAGGACAGCCAAGGCTACACAGAGGAACCCTGTCTTTAAAAAAAAAAACCAGCAACCCCTGGCCCTAATGGGGCATGGAACTAAACATAGAGTTCCTAAAAGAGGAAACAAAAACAGCTGAGAGACATTTTTTTTAAAAGCTCAACATCCACTGGGCAGTGGTGGTGCTCACCTTTAATCCCAGCACTTGAGAGGTAGAGACAGGAGGATCTCTATGAGTTCAAACTACAGAGGGAGTTTCAGAACAGGCTCTAAAGCTACAAAGAGAAACCCTGTGTCAAAAAACCAAAATAAAGAGATAGTTCCAGAAGAAAAAAGAAAAAGGGAAAAAAAAAGTTCAACATCTTTAACCATCAGGGAAATACAAATTAAAAAAATTTGAGATTTCATCTTACTCCCAGTCAGAATGGCTAAGATTAAAAAACAAAAAACAGCCAGGCAGTGGTGGTGCACATCTTTAATCCCAGCACTTGGGAGGCAGGGGCAGGCGGATCTCTGTGAGTTCGAGGCCAGCCTGGTCTACAGAGCGAGTGCCAGGACAGGAACCAAAAAAAAAAAAAAAAAAAAAAAAAAAAAAAAGCTACGGAGAAACCCTGTCTCAAAAAATCCAAAAAAAAAAAAAAAAGAAAAAGAAAAACCAAAACAAAACAAAAGAAAGAAAAAAAGGAAAGAAAAAATGATAAAATTCACAGGTAAAAATTAATGGAGCTAGAAATGTTTTATTTATTTATTTATTTATTTATTATGTATACAATATTCTGTCTGTGTGTATGGCCAGAAGAGGGCACCAGACCTCATTACAGATGGTTGTGAGCCACCATGTGGTTGCTGGGAATTGAACTCAGGACCTTTGGAAGAGCAGGCAATGCTCTTAACCACTGAGCCATCTCTCCAGCCCTAGAAATGTTTTTTTTTTTGAGACAGGGTTTCTCTGTGTAACAACTCTGGCTGTCCTGAAACTGCCTGCTCCTGCCTCCCTGAGTGCTGGGACTAAAGGCGTGCACCACCACCACCAGGCTGGAAATAAACATTCTAAGTCACCCAGACTCCAAAGACAAACATCACACATTTTTTTTTCTCATTTATAGATATTTTCTTTGATTCTTCTAACATGTGTGTTTCATTTGGAATACCCACGGAAATCAGGAAATTAGTAAGGGGCCGTGAGCGGGGACTTGGATGGGAGAGGAGATCAAGTGCAGTAGTATAAAGAGGTAAGGGGGATAATGGAGCAGGAAGGGTTAAATGGGGCAGGGAGGATTTCAGGGTAGAGGAGGGCACATGGGAGGGCTGAGTATTATAAAGATTTTAGAAAAAGCCGTCTGGGAACTCACGACTGTAGGAGCTCCCACACTGGACAGATACACACGGAGCTAAATGGTGTTACCCTCTAGCGGGGCAACAAAGACCCACTAGACTGCACAGACATACAGATAAAAAAAAGTCCAGTGCGGGAATGAGCCACCGCTTTCAGAGTTGGGCAGTGAGGTCCAGAGGCCCCAACATGACAGGCTACTGCCAATGGTTGCCCTCCAGAACTTGATGGTAATAATCCTCTTGGCTGAAGACACCATGTATTCAAGTCATAGACTATGAAGGAGTCAAGCTGTGGTACTGACCTGGAAGTTTCATCCCTACTGGCTAGTGTGTGAAGTTCTTTGTACTCTTTTTAAGCGGGGTGGGGGGACCACCCAGATCCCAAATAAATCACACACTGAGGCTTCTTAGTTAAGAATGCCCAGTCTTAGCTTTACTTATTTCTGGCCAGCTTTTCTTTCTTTCTTTCCTTCCTTCCTTCTTTTTCCTTTTTGGTTTTTTCGAGACAGGGTTTCTCTGTAACTTTGGAGCATGTCCTGGAACTAGCTCTTGTAGACCAGGCTCAGACTATCAGAGATTGCCTTGCCTCTGTCTCCCGAGTGCCTCCCAAGTGCTGGAATTAAAGGCATGTGCCACCATCACCCAGCCTGGCTAACTTTTCTTAATTTGTATTATTCCGACTACCTTTTGCCTCTGGGCTTTTATTTTTCTCTATTTCCGTATACCTTTCTTTCCTTCTTTCTCCGTGGTTTGCCGTGTAGCTGAGTGGCTGACCCCCCCCACCCCCATGTCCTCCTCTCCAT